AAGCAGGAGTAAAAGGTTTAACAGAATTTATTTTCACAGGCACAGAGTTAGAGATTGGTTCTGGTTCTGGCCTGGGAAACTGGTTCACCGGAGTCTTGAGGGTTCTTGAAGGAAAACCTTGAGAGGGAAAATGTTGGATCTGGAGAGGATTTGATCAGCAGAGTCCGTAAGCTGCTTCAGCGTCTTACTTCTTAGGAATGAGCCGACCTTGGCTTTGAGTTTCCAGCTCTTGGTCCTGAGCTGCATGGAAGTTCAAAGAGAGGCATCAGGTTTGGCTCAGAGGGCAGGCTCGGCAGGTTAAGCTCTACCTGAGCTTCACGAGGGGAAAAACAGGTTTCCTGGAAGACAGAGACAAAGGTTAGAACCCAGACTGGATTCAGAAGTCGACAAAGGTTCACAGAGAAACTAGGCTTAGGTGCTAACCAACTGGATCAACACTGCGGCGTTGAGGCAAGGTCTGAAGACAGCTTAAGTACTGTGGATCCTCTGATGATGGAATGGGCTGCAGCTGTGCAGGAGGCTCAACTCAGGAGGATCCACGGCGGACTCTGCTGGAGAAAGGTGGTACTTCTCCAGCTCCCAACAACCTCTGCCTGCTTGCCTTTGCTTTTGTGTCCTCAACCCGCTAACAAATCCTGACACCCCCCCGTTTACCGGCGTGCCTTAGCTTGTTGTTAGCTTGGATGTGGTAGCAAACTGGCAGGATGTCTTTTACTTCTTGAGAAGAGTCAGGGAAGTTAAACAGAGGATATGTACAAAGTTGTCCAATATTGAAAGTCCAATTTATTTGTTTATCTTTTATTAAATATATCCAAAGGCACTGACCAAAAGCACATGTCATTCAAACAAGTAGCAGGAAGCAGGAAGTGAGGAACATAGACATTCACCATTATGGCTGAACGATTTTGCAAAAAATCTAACTTGCGATAATTTTTAATCAATATTAGGATTTTATGTCAATTTTCCTTTGCAATAACTGCAAGCTTGTAGCTGTGTCACCCCAAGCTTTCAGGATTTGAAGCTTGTTTTCCCAGAGTCTATTGCTGCAGGACTTTACCAATACCTCTACCTTTCTGTGAGGCAACAACCCCTCTTCAAGCATTTTACTGCCACCTAAAGGGCTGGAGGGAGACATTTAGTGTCTCACTTTTGTTAAATATAGTGTGATTAAAATTTGGTGCCTCTGTAATTTGAAATTTGCATTTTGTTAAATCGTGATTACATTGCATATGCAATTAATTGCAGAGCCTTATTTACGATGTCCCCGATAAACCTATCCTGCCTTTTTGGAGCTTTCCTTAGATTGGCTTGCATTTCCACACAGACGGCGCCACAAAAAGTGTTGCAGTTAAAAATGCAACAATAGTTCACTATTTTATCATTTCTTATGCAGTACATACATGCAATGCAACACTGTAGCACTCCATCATGTCTACTGTTCCTGCATTGCATTGGGCCCCTGGCGTCGCATTCATAAGAGCTGTAACAAGTGAGTCAGGGTTTATCCTTTCCACACCAGGGATGGGGTGAGTCAAAATGAAGCCTTTGGAGCCCAAGATCAGACCTTCAGAGATCAAGACCTGTAGAATTCTAGAAAACAGTAAGAGTATTATCTTTATTTTTAAAAAATAAAAGTTTTGTGTCCAAGAATGAGTCCATAAATCATCTCTTTTCTTAAATAGTTAATATTTTTTTACATGAATACAAACCCTTAAAAAACTATTTGTTGCCAGCAATACTGGTACATAACATCTGGCTTAGGGACAGCTGTGAAAACTTGTTCATCGTCATAATTTTTTCCTGCCCCACTGATTTTTTTTTTTTTTAGCACAATATGAATAATGAAAGTTAAAAAAAAAAAAAAAAATTAGAGAGTTTCTTAATTTTCTAAAGAAGTTAGTGGAAAAGAGATCTCAATGTATACCTGAATTGTCTCTGTATAACCATCACAGGTTCAACAAAGAGATGAGATTAACCAGCCACGAGACTCTGAAATAAGGCCCAGGTAATGTAACATGCATATGTTTACACTGTGTAAGATAACTGTCAGAAGTGGAGAAACCCCACAAGAAGCTTTATTGCATTTGTAAAAAAGATTTCTCCATAGCCAGTTTAAAGATCTTTTCTTTAATTGAAACCTTAAATCTGACCATCAGTCAATAATGACGACTGTTTCTTGCTTTATTTCAGAGTTCTTGAGTTAAAGGTTCTTCCAAATGCAATTCTTTAAAATGTTCTGTAAGAACTCACTGGTGCATCATTATTCAAGTGATTAGAGATCTGGGGTACAGTAATCTATAGGGTTGTAAATTACACCCATTATGGCGATTCGATTCAGTATCAATTTCTTGACCCACTGATTATTTTTGATACTCAAGAATACACTACGATACGATTCGATTAATTGGTTAATTTTATAAAAATTTTTTACCTTACAGGCTAGAAAATGTTTTCAAATTTGAAATAAATCAATGAAAGCTGTAATATCGTTATACATTTTATTTGGGAAACAACAGCAAATAACAAAAGTAGCAAAGCTATACTGCGACTAGGCCAATGAAAACCCCATTCACTGAAATATTATAAAGCCTCTATGTTTACGTGAGTGTGTGTGCAAGTGGAAAGAGGGTAGTGGCTAAAGGAAGCGAGGTAGGAGGTCAAAATAGGTTTAGCGCCACTGCAGCACGAGAGTCAGAATTACATCCAGGAGCAAAAGGATAAAAATGGACCAGAGGAAAAAAAAAAATAAACATCAATCGCTACTCTTGCGGACGTGTCGATGCATCGGATCGTCGGCTGTTGGGTCGATGCATCGATACAAAACGATTATTTACACCCATAGAAATCTACAGCTGTAGCTTCCATTCACAGATCCAGAAATTTTGATGTCCGCAGTTTTTATCATTCCAGCCGTTCACTGAATCAAAAAACAGGGTTTCTACACAGTCTTCGTCATTGCTTCGATAATTGTTAGGCTCACCAGGGTTCCAGAAGCTGAAAACATAAACCAGAGATGATTCTGATCAGGACAAACAAAGTTCAAACATTTTAAAGAAGGTATATTTTAGATTCATCTGGCTGCTTTTTTTTTTTTTTTAGCACAGATTAGAAGGACAAAAGGACATTTATTCTACTGTTATTCACTAACAACAAACAACATTATGGTACATCTACTTTTTATGTGGTGAATATGACATAATCATACTGGTAATAATAAAAAATTTTATCAAAGTTATACACGATTAAACAGAGAGAACATTAAAAGCTCCATGAAGGCAGATTTCAGGCCAGGATTTAAACCCAGGACCTTATTACTACACGGCAACCGAGCCTCTTGCTATACCACAAGGCAGCCAACATATATGGCTGCACTTTTTCTATGTTACACATATCTATTTAAGCAATCTGCTTTAATACTGCTGCTCAAGTTTAATATGCATATTGATTATGTCACATATACTAGTTCGGCTTCATAAACTAGAATATTAAAACTACATGTTTTAAAATAAAAGCTAGAAAATATTCAGAAGTTTGAATGTGACTGAGATTCTAATGCTAAGATGGTTGAATCATTATTTGAAAACACATCCCAAACCTTGTGTTCAGCAGAGTCCCATCAATCCATTTCCATTCCTTTTCTCTCGCAGCATAGATCAGACCAATCCAAAATGGCCTTTTAAACTGGATCATGAATTTCTGCTCTTCTTGGCTGTTGATAATCAGCAGGTCTGCACCTCTTTCCAGACAATCTTTTCTGCTTTCATGCCAGGATTTCCTGCTTGTGGAGATGTAATACACACTTGGACAAACATCTGCAATCTGTTCTTTAGTTGTATCTGTTACTGAGAAGAAAATATCAGAGGAAACTGGTAACTATTTAGACACAATGATTATGAAGGTCAGATCCTGATCCTTTCTGTAATTGAATGAATTTAGGAAACACTAAACTCACACGCTGTAAGATTCAAACCATTATGTCCACTCTCAGCATCGTAGAAGCAAAAAATCAATCCAAGCTGAATTTTCTGATCAGTCCTGTTGAAGCCTGGAAAAAAGTGATACGTTTTTATTAGTCAATAAAGTACGGAATTTATTATTCTTTAACATCATAAAGTGCAGTTAAAACTGTAGTTAATGTAGTTACACATTTTTAAAGATTGGGAAAAAAAGTAACTCTTTTTAAAGTACTTTGGATTGTCTTTGTATTTAATTGTGCTATATTAGTAAACTGGCTTTGCCATGCCAATTATAAGAATATGGGTTGTTTTTGCAGATGGCCTTGTGCATCAAGACTGAGTTGAGGTTGGTTGAGGACCCAAATGCAGAAATGATGTAGGCAGGGATGCATTCTTGCAGGTTTAATAAAATGTAGAAGGCCATAGAAGCAAAAATCCAATGACAATTACAGGAAAACAAAAAAACAGGAGATGTAAGGGGAAAACGTATATGTGGAGCAAAGAAACAACGAGAAATCACCAAACACTAACTGAAAAGTAGGGGTATATATGGCAAACAGAACAAGGACTGGAGTAATCAACTGATTGGGATCAGGTGTGAACAGAAGAATCTAGAAGAGAGAAAGGGGAAGGAGATTTACACAAGGGGGAAACAGGGTAAACAACAAATACATAAGACCTCAAATTCAACCAAAAACCACTACAATAAAAAAAAAATGCAAATGAAACTAATGAAAACTCTGAAAACTTAAACAGAACCAAAACCATGACATAGTGTGCTGATAACAAATTAGCAACAAGGAGGAGGTGCTGATCTCTGGACACTAAATGTACTTTTTGGCTTCAAGGCCTTTTCTGTGTTAATTTCTAGTTTTTTGTCTCCACCTCCTTTTCTAAGTGTTCGTGCTTCTTTCTGTCGCAGCTGCTTCTCATGTTTACTTGATCAACTCACCTGCATCAAATGCCACTCTCCAAACTTTCCCTTTTGCTAAATGCTAATGTGATCATCAATGGCTTTTTCTCCATTAAGCCTGACGTACACTGTGCAATTTTTTTAAAGCGTTGCACGCATCTGCTGCTCCCACTGTATGACTAAACCCAATAATAATAAACCCTGTGTTTAGTCGTACAGTGTGAGTTTACAGCTCACGATTTATGTTTGGCCTGATGCTCTGATGCGATCTACCTCCTCACACTGTGCGACTAAAAACCACATTGGACTCAGCTACGCAGTGAGATGGAGCTGCTCTGACGCGTCTATCCTGAGGCCAAAAAATAGAAGGGGAATATTAAGCTCACTATAGTAAACCGCGCTGCCTTAGCAATTTGTGCAATTTTGTGTTGAAAGTCCTTAAAAGAAAAGGCGACAACATATTTGGGACAAGACATGGCTGCTGCAGTCCATCAATTTTGCAGACGGAGCTGCATTTTACTCATTGCACCCCTGCCACGCTACTGTGTTTACGTCTGAGAGGAGGAATAAAAGTAAAAGTCCTTGTTTGCCCATGCGTTCTGAGCGATATGCCATCGATGGTCTGAAGAAAATCAAACATCTTTGAGATTCTCCCGACCTCACGATTCCTGATCAGGAGGTGGTCGTGAGAGGCTGATCACCGCTCGTAACCCCCTGTACACTACACGACTCACAACGCACGATCAGGCTGAAAGTCGGCCCGATCGAAAAATACTTGCACGACTGGAAAATCACCCCGAAAATCGCAGTGTACGTCGGGCTTTACTTGAGATATACTGCCTGCTTTTTGTTTGTTATTCCTTTAAGCATTCTATTATCACAAAATCTTTACTATGCTTATCCCACATTGCTGTCTCCACTACATTTTCTATCATATTTACACATGGTACAAAATATAATGCATAGCTCCACCTTAACCAAAAAACAATATCCCCACCTGTCATACTAACCTGCTGCCACCTATGTAATGTGCTGCAAGACATCATATTCTCACACAACCCCGAGAAAACAATAACATTAAGTTCTTCAGTTTTAACCTGTTAAAAAAAGTATTGAAGTCGTAGATAAACATTTTTTTTCTGAAATTGGAATGTTTCAGCTGGGATGTAGATCCTAATTAGGCCAATATTAAATTCCTGAAGACCCGAGATATAAACAAACTCACAGAAAGTCTGAAGCAGTGAAATGTTGAGAGCGACTTGCAGAAAGCAGAGAAGTCCAAAGCTGAATACAACCAACTGTATGTTTCTGTCTGAAAGCAAAACCCAAGCAAATACAGAGCAAAAAATGTCAAATATACATCCTGCACAATGACAGCACAAAAAAGAGTTTGTAGAAATGTATTTTATTAAAGGTTTACCTTTAACGGTCTTTACATAGACAATCCTTGGGGAATCTCCTGGTTCTACAGAAGCCACTGGTATATCCTGATGATCTTCAGCCATGATGCATATCCTGCAGTCAAAGGCTGGATTATGTTTCCTTTCTAAAGGAGCAATATATAAAACTATATGGAAGTCAGGGTCTCTCTTTGCTACCTGCCATAGAAATAAGGGGAGAGCAGTCCAATGCTTTGGTGAGTCTTGAAATATTTCCAAAAGTTTGCATCCAGGGCCATTTGAATTTACCTCATGAAGGTGTATTGTTATGTTTGTGTCAACTGTAATGCACCTCAGTTTGGCTTAAAAAGAAAAAGGGCTCTTACACTCAGTGTTTTTTATGTAAACCAGGAAAATTAATAAATTACTTGATTGTAACTTTTGGGGCCCCTGTCACAAAAATATGTCTCTGGAGTCTAATGCATGAAAAACATAATGGTTTTGTAACTACAAAATAACAATATCTGAAATACAGCTGTAAGGTTTCATCACCATGGCATTGCAATTAGAAATTTACCTCTTATCGATAATGCTAAGCACACTGGGGGCACCAAATACTATAATAAGCTCAAAATCTTGGACCTAATATTCAAAGCAGACAGATCTGGTTTAGTTCAAAACAAGTCTTTATTGAACACTCAGCGTGCGGCTGCTCGTCAGCTGGAGCGCATAAACCGGATCCTATTTGGAAACAGAAACTCAGGTCAGTAACTAATAAGAGCCAACATTTTGGATCGACTTATTTGTCCCTACCAATAATTCGATGTGAACAACATGTTTATAATTTAAAATACAGCGTTGTTGCAGCAGTCGCTTCTTTTCCTCTCTCAGCTCCTCTGCATGTGTGCGCGCGCGCTTGAAGCGCGAAAATCTTTTTTTTTAATGACGCTAGAATACCGCATTTACCAAAATTAATATTAGGCTAGGAAACTAGTTCATTTCTATTGATTTCTACTTCTAGAAATAGGATAAAGACAAACAGAGGAAATCTATTTACAATGAATCTATTTTTCTAGATTTCCACATGGTCTATAAGTAAATTAGTGCAAACATTAATGTCTGGTAAATATTGTTTGAATCTAGCTGTTTATTTTGGAGACTATTATATAGCAGATATGCTATTGTTATATTGTCTTTTATTATTGTTAAAAGTGATTTTATATTTGAATAAACATAGGCTCAGTCTTAGTGTTGTGTTTGTAGATGATGCCACTAAAAAAGAAAATAGACATAAGGCTATTTAAACAGTCAGACAGTTGCAATATACAGTGGTGTGAAAAAGTGTTTGCCCCCTTGCTCATTTCCTGTTTTTCTTGCATGTTTGTCACACAAGTGTTTCGGAACATCAAACCAATTTAAACAGTTCCAAGAAGAAAGCCACTGCTGAGCAAAAAGAACATTAAAGCTCGTCTCAATTTTTCCAAAACACATCTTGATGATCCCCAAGACTTTTGGGAAAACATTCTGTGGACCGATGAGACAAAAGTGGAACTCTTTGGAAGGTGTGTGTCCCATTACATTTGGCGTAAAAGGAACACTGCATTTCAGAAAAAGAACATTATACCAACAGTAAAATATGATGGTGGTAGTGTGATGGTCTGGGGCTGTTTTGATGCGTCAGGACCTGGAAGACCTGCTGTGATAAATGGAACTATGAATTCTGCTGTCTACCAAAAGATTCTGAAGGAGAATGTCTGACCATCTGTTTGTGAACTCAAGCTGAAACAAACTTGGGTTCTGCAGCAGGACAATAATCCTTAACACACCAGCAAGTCCACCACTGAATGGCTGAAAAACAAAATGAAGACTTTGGAGTGGCCTAGCCAAAGTCCTGACCTGAATTCTATTGAGATGTTGTGGTATGACCTTAAAAAGGCTGTTCATGCTCGAAAACCCTCTAATGTAACTGAATTAGAACAATTCTGCAAAGATGAGTGGGCCAAAATCCCTCCAGAGCGCTGTAAAAGA